ATTGAAAATGAAATTGATTTTTACTTGAATTCATTATATAAGAAGTTACTCCAAAACTTATAAATGAAGATGGAAAAGACACACTATTCCATTTTTACTTACATGTGCATCTGTTCACACACAAATCTATAAAACATAGTAGCTATGATATAAAATGCTATCATACACAGTCACATAATTTCATTTCCCAAATAACAAAAACCACAAACCTTCAGCTGTTCATCTACAACTCTTGTGACTTCTCCAGCCATTGATTCCAGGGTCTCCTGAATCGGACTGGATAACAAGCCACTGGCTCCTGCCCAACACACACCACCAACATGGTATAAATTTGGTAATAACTGTAAGAAAAATAAAAAGTAACTTCTATAACCGAACAAATATTTCAATAAGCACCAAAGTCACTGCAGAGTTAATGAAAAGGGTTGGGAAATACTAGGGCTAATCTATTCTCAATCAAAGGCTTTTTGCACAGATTAATAAACTGAGGTCCAGAGTCTTTATAAGCATTCACTTTTTTATTCAATAAATCATTACAACCCTAAGAAACAGTAGACTGGGATTAGGAGACCTCCACTTGTCCACTTCTGTCATTAAGCAGCTTTGAAACCACAGGAACTATACATTATCCTTTCATGCCTCACTGTCCTCATCTGGGCTATGAGAGTTTAACTGTTTTCATTCACAACACTTTTGTCACCAAAAGCATTAGCAGTTTGCCACACCAGGGAATTCTCCAATTATCTGCATATACCAACTTCATGTCCTACAATTCAATTCTGACTCTATCTACCTGGAGATAGCATTAGATCCCACAGGTGAAAGGATCAGTTCGACAAGAGTGTCCTCACTTTAGATGCCAGTCGTAAGTCCCAGGTTGTCACTGGTACTTCTGGCCACCTGGCTATAAATTCAAGAGGTTCCCACAACCTACTTCTCACGTTTGATAATTTGCTAGAATGACTCAGAGAACTCAGAAAAACATTTTACTTATGATTAATGGCTTATTATAAAGAACACAACTCAGGAATAGCCCCACAGAAAAGAGGCATAGGATAAAGTATAGGGGTTGGGCAGTGTGGGAGGCTTCCATGCCCACTCTGGGTATACCACCCTCTTATCACCTTGATAAGTTCACCAACCCAGAAGATCTCTGAACCCCATTATTTAGAGATTTTTATGGAGGTTCTATCACATAGGAATGACTGATTAAATCATTGGCCATTGATGACTAACTTAATCTCCAACCCCTCTCTCCTCCCAGGAGGTCCAGGGGTGGGGCTGAAAAAGCTGATGCTCTAATCACATGGTTGGTCCCCCTGGTAACCAGCCTCCATCCTGAAGCCATCTAGGGGTCACCCATGAGACACCTCATTAGGGTAAACTCTGGTGTGGTGGAAGGGACTTGAAATCAATAACAAAAGATGCTCCTATCACCCCTATCACTCAAGATATTA